CCAGGTGAATCTTTTTCCCACTGCTGAAGAAATAAAATTTATCAGATGGAGCCCAACTACGATTGATAGCTACCTGATCAGAAACATACCTGTTTAAAATTCATCCTGTCTGTAACGAAAGTATTTCTATATCAAGCCTAAGGCATGTGACCTTGTTCCGAACTGCTGATTATAGCTTAACCCGCCTGAACACTGAAGACTGCTCTTTCCATTCTTTCTTTTCCTGTTTCCTTTTGTATTTTTATTGAACGTTAAAAGAAAATTTATACAAAAGAAGACAAGAAGTGTAAAAAAAAAGTAAAACACAGATGAATGAACAAGGGATTTAGATCTGGAGGTTATCATTTTCTAGTATAATACAGCTTTAAGTAAATGAACTTATCCTATTGGTTAACAGTTCAAAAAGTCACTATTCACCACTAAACAAATGTTTTTCAAACTTGGCCATTTTAAGATGTGTGGACTTCAATTCCCAGAATTCCCCAGCCAGCCTTCTGGAAGTTGGGAGTCCACACACATTAAAGAGGATAAGTTTGAAAATCACTGCTATAAACTAAGAATGAATATTGACAACTATGATCAACCTACCATAACCCACCAGTAAAATTATAGTCACAGTTTGGTGGGGGTACACTACAAATGTTGTATTCTAGGAATTGATTCTAGTTCTAGGACTGAATTCTCAGCTAGATTGGTTTTTAAAATATGAAGTCACTCCAGACATTGAACCATCTTCTCACACTTAACTATTCTTCTCCTAAAGAGACCAAGCACCAGGAAAAAGCAGATAATACGGTGCGGTATTGTTGTAGCAACACACAAAGCTAATTCAGCACACTCTGAAAGGATCAATGATTTTAAGTTCTTCTATCATTTCTAACGTTTTTCTCAGCTTTGAACTGTCTTACTGACTTGGAACTTGCTTATGTTCAAAAAAGTATTAAAAGCTTGTATCAAAATGCTGCATGCAGAAAGGTATACCAAGAATTAGAAACAGCCTGTCAATGTTAGCCTTCTAACAATTCCAGAATTTAAAATTGCCTTTTCCCTGACCGCAACTGCTGCTAATTTCTTTTAAAAATTGGTAGGAAAACCTAACCATCTAATTTATAAATTATTTTTATTGCTTTAGTGTTGTGTGAAACCAATACATTGTGATTTTCCAATACATTGTGATTTAGTACAAGATGTAGAACTTGCTAGACAATTTGGGAAACGAGCTTGTAATTTTACTGAACCATTAAGAATCTTCAGATACCACTGTATATCAGTGTACTAAATTAGAGCTGAGAATACAGTAAGGAAATCTATTTTGAAATATTCAGTACAGTTAATGGTTGGGCCTTTCCTTTGATCTTCCAGCTTTGGCCATAAATCTTCTATGATCATCCAAGCATGGAGAAGTGTAGTCAGCTATCCCATCTGGCAGTAAATTATATACGAATAACATTTATGAATTAAAGGACTATCTCCAGTTTGTATTAATGAGCTCCCACCATTCCATCTCTTGCTACAGTTTACTTACAACCCTAAAAGATAGTTTGAATTCATTTACTTACATATTCCATATTAAAAAGTATTCAGTAGTCAAGACACATTCCAAATATTTTCAATCCACAAAGAATGTCAAAGAATAGCACCACTAACAGACACTGTAGCTTAGACTTAAAAATGAATGAGCTGGAAGAGACCTTGGGGGGGGTCTTCTAGTCCAGCCCCCTGCTCAAGCAGGATGGACTACAACTCCTAAACAGTTGCACAATATGTTATACTGAGCTACACACCCACAGAGAAAGACAGTCACCAGCAAATTAGAAAGGAATGAAATGCACAAGAAGATGTACAGCAATACATGTTTTTACTTAGCAAATTTCTTACTTAAAAGCACGCCTCTCATTGCTTATTTTATAAATTTCTTCCCCCAAGATTGTTCCTCGAAGCAGTTTACAATAAAAATTAAAATACAGTCATAAACACCTATATTGTATATGTTGTAAAATAACTCATTCAATTGATGGGGATGGAACAATGAAAACAAAACAGAACTATTCATTGGAATAGACAGGAAAGGCCTGGATAGAAGAGAAAACTTCAACAGGTGCCTTAGAGTTGGGATCATAGATGTATGAATATTTGCAAAAAGAGGATTAGTAGTATTGGAGACACCACAGAGCAGCTCTCTAAGGAGCAACCACAGGTATCTCTCTGTGGCTCTTGACATGCCCAAGCCCCTCATGTGATGGTCTATATCAGGAAGGTTGATCTTCATTTATCCTGACCCAAAGGAGACCCACAAAGTCAGGATAGAAGCTGTGAACGCACCCCACATAAAAAACAGGCAGAGTTTCAATTGTGTGGCCAGAGGTCCATTATAAGCAAAGCTCTGGATTACGGCCCAATAAACAGCCAGCACATTTATCTTGGAAAAGTGCAGCAGATACACAACAAATTAACAGCCTTATTCCACATCAGACAAAACTTGAGACCCACGTGAAGCACATGGGAATAATCTCAGTGTGAGGCTAGTACAACATATTTTCCCTGTACAAGAACTATAATTGTTGGCATGCCATTTGAAATGGACAGTTAGGATTTTGGGCTAAAGTCCCTTAGGCCTCCAATGAAAACGACAGGATTCTCTTAGAATTTTCCTTTTTCTGAAATACCAACAGCCTTTGCAGGAATCATTTCCTTCTCCATGTTAGAGCAGGATTTCATCTCTTATTCACATACCAAGACAATTGCCCAAGATTTATTTAATTGGGCAACACAACTTGATTCCTACAGACGTTTTCAGGATAACCAGAAATAAGTTTAAACATGCACTGCTCCATAACAACACATCTCGTACTACATATCCAGCAGGCTGAAACCCAAACCTGGTTATACCATAAGGAGGGCCCAGATTGTTGGGGGCAAGATGCTGACTCTGTAAACCGCTTAGAGGGGGCTGTAAAGCACTGTGAAGCAGTATATAAGTCTAAGTGCAATTGCTTATTAGGTCTTCTGGACACAGTCTCTCTGCTCCAAAACAACGGACATATCTAACAGTTTTTGAGAAAAGGCAACGGCAATAGAACTAGGATTAATGAGAAAAGAACCAATGAAAAACTAGCTGAGATTCAGCTGAAGGCATGGTGAAGAAACAGATGTGGTCCTGTAGTATTTATTATACAGGTAGTCCTCGACTAACAATAGTTTGTTTAGTAACTGTTTGAAGTTACAACGGCACTGAAAAATGTGACTTGTGACGTTTTTCACACTTGTGACCATAGTAGCATCCCCATGATTACATTATCAAAATTTATGCACTTGGCAACTGATTTATACTTATGACCGGTGCGGTGTCCCAGGGTCATATGATCTCCTTTTGTGACAAGCAAAGTTAATGGGGAAGCCAGATTCACGTGTTACTAAATTAACAACTGCAGCAATTCACTTAATTGAGGCAAGAAAAATCGTAAAATGGAGCAAAGCTCACTTAACAAATGTCTCACTCAGCAACAGAAATGTTGGACTCAATTGTGGTTTTAAGTTGAAGACGACCTGTATTTATTATACTTCTCTATTGTTCTATTTCCCCCCCTCCCAAAAAAAACCTCCATTAAATATATAATAAGACTTTAAATAACTGTAATGGAACTGACAACTCTTAAAAACAATAAATTGTAGTTATCATTTGGAATCAGGGAGTTGAAAATGACCTTTGAGGCCCCCAGATCCAACCCCTGTTCTGTTCTGTTTTGTGCAGGAATCCAAGCAAAAGGATCTTTAACTGATGTCTTTGCAATCTCTGCCTGAACACCTGCAGAAAAGTGATACTCTCTTATTTGTTTATGGAAGTTATTCAATTTGTAACACCACCCAACTCTCAAGCAAAAAAAAAAAAAAAACATGAAAACCACACCAAAAGAAAAAAAACAAAACCCTTTTCTCTGGGGTTTCCGCCCTCCAAACAGCTCTCATGTGAGGAAATCTTTAGCAACATCTAACCGAAATGGCATTCCTTTAATCTGAAATCCAGGGCTTTGTGCATCCAGCCCTTTGCAACGAGTAATCATGGTCTGCATGAAATAGGCACCAGATCAAATACACCCTTAAATTGAGATTGAAGCCCCCGTTTTCCTTTTCCTTTAAAGTGGATTATGTTGAGTTGGGAAGGAAACATAAGCAGAAATAAAATGCTTAAAAAGGGATGTAAATAAACAAGGTTAGAGGCCCATCTTCCTGCACCCAGCAGAGCCCCCTTCCACTCCCATCTCCTTCCTCCACCACCCCCAACTCATTACACAACTGCACAACTTTCACACCAGCAGAGAATTTAGATTTAAGAGCAACTTATGTTGATCCTTAACAACAGTCTTGCAAGGCAGACCAGGCTGGGAGCAAGTGGCCCAGCATGCCTTCCTAATGAGGTTGGTCGGGGAGGGGCAGTTCTGAATGCAATTCCCACCACTCCGTCCCCTGGTCAGTTGCAGCCCCCGCTCCCTCCCCGCGCCCACTCCTCTTTTAACAGCCCCACTCAAGCCAGGAACAATAGAACACTCCCCACCCCACCCTCAGCCCCTTCATTTACCCCAGCCCCAGTTCAGGGTCCCGCCACGGTCTTCTAACGAGCCGCGCCAAAACCCGCTCCTCAATGCGGGAAAGCAACATGCCAAGCCCCGTGCTCACCAGGCGTGGGTCAGCCCTGCGAACGCGAGGGAGAACTAACGTCGCCCCCCTCCAGCCATCCGCAATGGTACCGTCGCTCTTCCTAAAGCAGCCCGACGCTTCAACTGCCCCGCCTCCCCCAGTGGGCGGGGAAGGCCGGCGGCGGCACGCCGATCTCTGACGTCATGGCCGAAAAAAAAAAAAGTGGGGGGGACGGGCTTCCACAAGTGGAAGCGGATTTGCTGACCGAGCTCGGTGAGGATCGAGCCGGAAGAAGAGAAGCTACGCGAGCCCACGTGATGGGGCGGAGATCTGCGCAGGCGCATATCTGTCCCTTTAATGCGGAAGTACAGTAGTTGTCCATCGCCTAAGAATAGATTTGTCTGTTGCCACCTTGCTACGAGGAGGTTTTATATTTCTTATTCGTTTTGCATAATCCTGGCTGTATTACTTATTGTTTACAATTCAGAATCCCATTCAGAGGTTTATGCCTCTCAAACATTGAAATACACCCAACAGAGATGTTGAACTACAACTCCCAGAATCCCCAAGAAGCGACTGTGGTTTGTTAATTCCCTGCTAGGAATTCCAGCCCAATTCTGAAGGGTAAAAGCATGTTTGGTGACATTAGGACTGAACAAGGAGGCTTTAAGGATTTGCTTAGAGATAAGATATGGAAGAAGAAATCGTTTTTTGTATTTTAAGAGACGGCAATGAGCTACTAAAATTGTTTATACTTGTGATGGAGGTGGGATGTTGTTTTATGCATTTTTATTTTTTTATTTTCTATTTTTTTTAATCCATGTTCTATTTTTTAATTCATTTTAGTTCATGTTAGTTTGTACTATTGTAAATGGTAATCTTTAATAATAAAATTACTATTAAAGCACAATATGCTTTTTAAATTACTTGTTGAAAAAATTGCTCTCTTCCTGTTGGCTTTACTGCTGGAATTTTACAGAATGTACCACAATTCATTGTGGATTGAAAATTGTTCTCCCAATGTACTCCATTCCAGCTTTTCCTTCCTGAAACATAGACATTGCATGCCACCCAGAGGTGAAGGTTAGTATTTACTGACAGAGATATAAACTGCTTTTTATACATGTCAGAAATAAATTAGTTCTATCTATCCTATTTGAATTCTACTTAGAAATAAAGGAGAATAATCTCCATTATACTTAAAATTGTAATGCAGATGTCAGTGTAAAATATCCTTTCTCCTATCTTTAGTAGAGGAAAGGGAATAACTTAAGGTAAACTCCTGTAGAAATCCTCAGATGAGTCATTTGCCAAAAGAAAAAGATCAGAGTATCTGAAATTCTAAATAGCTACTGGTGTCAGCCCAATCAACAATAGATCAATGGAGGAAAGTTTAATATATTGGCAATTCCTTACTGGAAACCTCAAACAAACATCAGGTAGCTATATTACAATAATAATGCAAGAACTTACATTCTTTTTACAGAAATGAAGGGATTTATATTATGTGAACAATATTAATTACAACATGCATTGTGGATCCCAGGCTGGGGAATTGCTGCAAAATATTGCCTGGATTACACAATTTAACAAAGCTAAAATGGTTTGGTCAGTTGGTGGTTTAGTGGTTTGTGAGAAAGAAGCCATAAACTTTGCATATTGTTTGAACCAGACCATCTACTTTTTGAAGCCACTGCTTTGTTAACATGGGTTTTTGTGCAAAACCAGCCATTTGCTCAATCATGGTTTAACAAACCACAGTGCCTGAGTTTCCAACCACATATAAAGAAAAACAATCTCTTCTCTTGGTTTTTTTAAACACTAGAAATTATATCCCACAGATGTTCAGCAGATGTCTCTTCTAGTTGTCACACTCTATATTGCAAAGTCATTGTTCTTGTAGAGACTTCATTTTTCTTTAAGAATTTACCAGTTTCAAAATCTCCAAGTCTCTAATTTCTTTTTTTTTCACAAACTATTTAATATCAAAAGTTAATACACTATAAGGTTTCTTTTTTATTCTCTTCTTTTGCCCCTTTCAGCTTTGTTCAATTCTTATTATTTCCTGGTTTCCTTTTCACTAGTTCTTTAGCTGTCCAGCACCCTCACTGCTATAGTTAAAACTTTCGCAGTGTTTACCTCTCGTCAGGTTCCACGGCTCTGAAGTCTTATTTGCACTCCCTTCCACTGCTTTGCATAAAAAGCCTAGGGGAAAAGAAACTTCCGTCAAGTAAACATCACCATAGTTCCATTTGCTGATCGCTTATTTCGTCCAGCCATCAGATCATCTCAGCAGCCATCGCTGGTCACCTTCTCCCGGTCCTCTCAGATCCTGGTTTCTCCTGCTGCTCGCTGCCAGCCGCCGCTTGCTCACGGTCTGCAAGACACCCCAACTCCTTCAGCCGTCCCTCCAGGACTTGTGACAGCTCCAATGAGCTCCACGGACACAGGAAAAGTGACTTGCGAAGTGGAGAAGATTGCTCGCACTGCTGCTTTCTCCAACAGCTGGCCCCGGAGATGGCACCTCCCACCCACCAGATTAGCTAAAATGAATGGCTTCCAATCTTCGACATGCTGGAAATGCCTGAAAGAACGAAGCACTTACTACCATATGTGGTGGAAGTGCAAGAAAATGCAAGAATTTTGGCAAAAAAATTGGCAATGGATAGAGGAAATGTTAAATGTAAAAATAAATTATACACCAGAAATGTTCTTACTAGGAATAACAAATGAGAATCTTAAAAAAGCAGATCTGTATCTAATTATACATATTATCACAGCCGCAAGATTATCAATTGCCCAAATATGGAAATCAAAAGAAATACCTAATGATGAAATACTAAAAAAAATTCTATACTGCGCCGAGCTAGATAGCTTAAGACTGAAGAAACAAGATACTTCGGAATTTTATGAAATATGGAAAAAAAATTACAATTGGATATGAAAGGAAGTCAAAAAAATGTAAAATAGAAATTAAAGAGTTTATACTACAATAAAATTTCTTAGAAATGAATATAAAGATTTACAATGTAAATATGTATATAGATGTGTGTGTGTGTGTGTGTGTATGCTATATTGTGTGATGACATTCTGATATTCAACAATGTAAAGACTGCTGATATATGTCAAAAGATCACCATGTTCAAATGTTTTTAAATTTTAATTTTCAATAAAATTAAAAAAAAAAAAACTATGATGGCTTAATATCTATGGAGATTCTCAAGGTTCTCCCAAAGGTGCTTTTTCAAGAGGCAACTGGACTTTCTGGTTTTTCTTTGAAGATGTTTCGCTTCTCGCCCAAGAAGCTCAGAGCTGAAGAAGCTTCTTGGATGAGAAGCAAAACGTTTTCAAATCAAAACCAGAAAGTCCAGTTGCCTCTTGAAAAAAAAAGCACCTTTGGGACTATGATTACTTAGCATGCAGCAAACAGCATTTTGTGGCCAACTTTGTCATCAATTAATCAGAATAGCTGGAAAGGATCTTGGAGGTCTTCTAGTCCAACCTTCTGCTCAAGCAGGAGCCCTATACCATTTCAGACACGTGGCTGTCCAACATGAAACTAAGTCAACTGAACATTTAAAAATGTATCACAAATATTAGCAGGTGATACATTATTATTATTATTATTATTATTATTATTATTATTATTATT